TTGTTGTCTTCATGTTGTTAGTTGTTCATTGTTTCAACCAGTGTTTCTACTGTTGTGTTGGTACTCATGTCTCGTGTTCCAGTTTTGTTCCTTTGTGGCTTGTGGATTTATGGACTATAATATATTTGTCTCTGGATGTACATTGTTTTGTTTTGGTATGCATCACCATCACTGTAAATTTCACAGTTTGTCTTATTAAAATATCACCACTAATACCTCTTCTGTTTAAGTGTCGGCATCTGGGCCCAGATATTTCTGTTTCCCAGTTTCAGTCCAAATGAACATAGCTTTTGACATGAGCATGCGAAAGTCCTGTAGGACTTGTTAAGTTATATGCAATTTGTGAATGACAATCATTTGTGAAACATGATGCTACCATGCTGCTTGTCCCATAACTTGGGTGTACAACAGTAGGATGATTTGTACAGTAGGAGAGTGTCCATATTTTGGTTTTCGAAAAAGAGTACAGTTGGGGCATAAGGCAGACGGACGCTTGCAGTGGTTGGAAGGTTCAAGTAATTGGTGGCACCATGGCAATGTGTATTTTAATCCAGGCTATGATTGGTCAGTTCACGGAAAGTGACATTGATGAGCAACTTTACGCACACGACTCCCAAGAGGACTGGCAGTTTGTGACAAGTGCTTAGACTGTATATAAAAAGGTCATAGACTGTATATAAAAAGGGTGCTGGTGTGCAAGAAAAAGTCCCGGTATGCCAAAGAGTAAAATCTAGAAATGCCGCTACTGCGTACCGGTGAGTACAGGCCCATGTCAAGAACTACGCTTGGGCATTTTTTTACGCTGTTCAGGTGCCATGTCCCACTGTGGACAAGCAAGCTGCTGCTCTGTGTTGTTGCTGAGGATAATGATTAAGATGCAGTTTGACCAATGTTTGTATGAAGGCCTACATGACCGACCACCAGTGGTGTGCAAAAAGGAGAGACCTAAAGAGAAAGGTAAATCAATGCAGACACGCACACACTGAATGCATACTGTAGAAAGCAAGAGCCGAATCCCAAACATTTTTGGCTATTTAGAAATCCTGGCCGGACGCATTTTTTAGGTCCAAAAAGGGCACATGTCATGGAAAAAGACCTTCTGGATGGGGACTTACTTGGGGTGGAGTGAGAGAAGTATTAGCGAGAGGGAAGTGATTATGTTCAGCAGCCCTGGGCTACATCCACGCTACTACGATCTCCGTCCACACCAGCGTTTTAGCTGCGTATCGGAATTGATCTCTGAAATGACTTAAAACACACACCTAGTGGCCATCCATGTTCAATGGGCATGCGAGAGCCGGAGTAAACAGGAAGCGGATTGTCTACTCTGCAGTGTGCTGAAGATTCTGCGAAAGAAGAAAGTACTACTAGAGACAAAGAACAGCAATTGTGAACAACCACACCAGAGATTTCTTTACATGGACTAACAATGAGGTGGAACTGAGACAGTGGCAAGACTGGGGGATATCACAAAGCAAATACAGCAACATGTATAGCACAAGTAAAAAATATATTAATAAAAACACCAGAACAAAAACACTGTAAGTAGATTTGTGTTTTTGCTTTGAATGACTAATAAGACCCAATCATGAAGCCAAATGTATGCGTCTGCGTCATTGTTTTCAAATGCCTCCTTTTTCGCCTGTCCGCACAAAAACGCTACAGCATAATTTTAAAACAAAAACGGGGTCAGCAGTGTTTTCAAACTTCTACGTTTTAGGTCTTTGGATTTGCCGTTTTAGTCTGGACGGCAGGCATCAACAGAATGGATAATCGTCAGCAAAGTTTTATCTTAACCTATAATAATACATCATGATTTATTTATTGATTATATTTTGTATTATTAATCTAAATCGGTAGTTGTAGTTTTGCCAAGCACAGACACTGAGATTGAGGGATTTGGGCGCAATAGCAGGACACTTGGGTGCTGTAGTTACATGGAGGATGAGGCAGGCAGTTCAAGAAATTAACAGTAATAATAATAACCTAAAAGTAATAGTCCACACTGAGAAAGCAGGCAAGAACCAAAATAAAGCTAAAGCTATCAAATAGATGTATTGAAGTACAATTTGCCTCAGCATCTAGGTAGAGTAGAAAGTAGCAGAAAGTGGAAATATTCATGTAAAGTACAAGTGTTTAAGTAAATGTACTTAGCTCCTTTCCACCGCTGGTTTTTAATAGTTCTCCTGTAAATGTTCTTAGTGACATTATGAATTCTGTTCTGTGTTAAAGAAAACTTTATGAAACTGTGGTTTAGTTTAAAGCTGGGAGGAGGAAGAAGGAGCAACAATATGCTTAAATGCTGCGTGCCCTTCTTTAACCAAAAGTATAAGTGACTACGAACAAACTTGGTTTAAGGGAAACACCATCTCTGTTCAGTGGATGTGGAACTTTTGTGTTTTCCAGCTCTAGTGTTACTTTCATCAGACGAAACTAAACAAAATATATTCGTAAGCGACCTTTTTTTTACCTGACTAAAATGAGACGATGACCAAACAGCGACAATGTGCTTAAACACTGACTGCGACTATCCTAACATGCAATATTGTTGACGAAAAATGACGAGACTAAAATGTAATTCGTAAAATAAAAACGTTAATAAAATATCTCTCCCTTTTTGTCAGTACAATGAGGAGACAAAATATTACACGCCAATTTTTTTTTCCTCTAAATTATTAGTATATAGTCTTTTTTTCTTCCTGTGCTTTGAATGCTGGCCGACCAGGGTGACACCTGGGCCGTGAGGAAAACGTTACTGTTACTGATGCAAACTCTGGTGATAAACACAACATGCTAGGGAGAAAGAGGCGCTTAAATATTTGGTCCCATTTCAAATTCAGTGAGGCGGACAAAAAAATCAGAGTGCCTAATTATATCGGACAAAGCAAAGGATTAATGTGTCCTTTGTCATAAAAATGAGAACAAAGCTAACATTCAAAATTTACAAAACATTTTATCTATATATGTGAGAGGAGTGAAATAAAGACTGAAATGATAAATATCTCCATTTTGGATCGAGCAGATTGACCAAAATGCTAATCAAAATTATACTAATGATTTAGAAAAGACTAAAATGATGGTTAATGAGTAAAACTAGACTAAAATACTTTTAGTCAACTAAAACTTTTTCTTGACACAGGACTAAGACTAAATTTTTAAAATGGCTGACAATTAATACTATCAAGCTCCAGCAGCATCTGTTATTGCTATAAAAAAAAAAGATTTCATGGAGGTGAACACAAAGTGGTAAAGTGTCTCGCTGTGACAGCCTGAGGAGTGAAGCTGAAACTGGGTTGAATGATAATGTGTTTCACTCACCTCCCTCCATGAGGCATTATGAAGCTCTGGCCTGGGGAAACCTTTGTTTGCATGCTGAAGAGGAACACTGTTTGTTTGTTTGTTTGTTTTTGTTAATAACTCACTTTCAAAGCAATAGTCCACTCAAAATTTAACATTTGAGTGTTGACTGTGCACCACTGAGCCAGAGTCCAAATAAATAATCAGCCTGTGACAGCAGTTGTATGTCTTGTATGTTTAATGTCTCCTGTGACTCTGAGGAGGAGGAGCTTTGTCAAATCTGAGGAAAAAAAACCCTAAGGATGTGATAGTGATGTCATCAGGGTTATTTTGGTTTAGGCCTGGAAACTACAAATGTATAAACAGAAAGCCTGCATTGCAAATTACAAGCATATATGCTATGTTCCAGGCACCTCTGAAGTGGAAGTGGAACACCACTTGAATTCGTTCCTACTTGTGAAGTCTGAGAAAAAATATGTACCGACTTCACGAGTAGCAGCTGAATGATGTCACACAACAATGGCAGTGCATTTACATGTATTTAAATTAACATAATACATACTATCACATAGTTAAACCTGTTCTGCATGTATTTTTATATAGAAATATGTTGCCAGTGTTATTAGGTAGCTGGTTACAGTAAAGTCATCTTCTCTGCACAAAAGTTATTCTGGAAAATGTTAAAAATGCTTAGCCTACAACATTTACAGACTTTTGAGGATTACCAGCTGATGTAGCAAGATGGGTACACAGTTAACAAGTAACGTGTATTTATGTTGCTTGTTTTCATTAAACGGACAGTCCTTTTAATTAACATCAAGGGCACAGCTGAGGGTGCAACTGTGTTTACGCTTGACAAATAGTTTCACGGTCAGCCATGTTTTTTGTTCGGAAGTCGGATATTTCACCTGGGAAATTTCCCAGTTCTGAGCAGTCTGGAACTCAGAATAGGGTTTAACACAAGACACCACTGAGTTGCTTTATGGGAAATGAGGTATCCACTGTTCTTGTTATTCAGAGGATGAACCCTTTAGATATTAGGTGCGTTCGAGATGACTTTGGCTAACTTTCGCCGACTTGATAGTCTGAGCTGCAGGGGCAGGGTATAAAAACACTGCCGTTAAGTCGGACACATTCTGCCTGCGTGAGCTTGGAACAATGACTGATCTCGAGATCAAGCAAAAGGTGGTTCCAACTTTGTGCAGCCAGAGAAAAACAACTGCGCCAGCCGGACTCAGACACCTGCAGCCGCCTTGCTCCCGTGAAGTAATAATGTCATGTGACATGGCAGGACTGGCGAAAGTCAGAGAAAATGTCTAACCAGCATGCCTTATGTTAAGTCCAGCATGCATCACGTGAAACGCACCTATTAAAAACCACGACCTCCAACACCATGTAATAACCGCTGCAGCCTCCAGGGGACGCCAGCAGCAGGACTGAAGGCTGGTTGTGCCACTTGACTGGAGAGGTTTTTTTGTGACTCTCATTTTCAGGAACATTACATCATCATTGTCTAAAACACACACACACACACACACACACACACTCAGACGCAGTGGGTGAGCGAGGGGAGGACAGATTGAGATGCATGTTTGCTGTTTGCATCTGAATAGAGCGTAAAGTTATGCGTGTTTGAATTTGGGAGGGGGAGGAGGAGGAGGAGGGGGAGGAGGGCGGTCTGTCAGCTGCAGGATTCCATCACTCTTAGCAACCGTTATTGAGTTACCACAGAAACGCTCTGCTTCTCCTTTGTCCTCCTCCCTCCCTCGCTCTCTCTCCTCTCTCACTCTCTCCATCCTGTCTTTATTGCTGGTCGACTTCCTCCTTGCGTTGCTACGGCGATGCTCTGGGACATTCAGCTGGATCATTTTGCCGCCGCAGTGCCGGAGCGCAGAGCTCAACTCTTCAGCTGTGGACTGATGAAGGAGAGCCGCCAGCTGATCGACTGAAAAAATGGCGTGAGTCTCTTCTTGCTTTTCAACTTTTTTTTAACACAACTACACTTTGTCTCGTGACCTTTAACTCGCTCTCAAGGATCAGAGATCATCAATCTGGATTGGCCGGGCCGTGAGGTGACATCGCAGGAAGTTGGATGAAGTTCCATCAAACCCAAACGCTCTCCACTGCGATCGGCGTCGATGTTTTCACAACTCCGTCAGTCTGAGAGACGTCTGGACGCTTCACAGACGCCAAACTCTGACCTGTGAACACTTCTACAAACACTAAAAAGCTCTACATACTTGTCCTCCTCCTACTTGTACGCCTAGATGAACGAGGAGGTGCAGGAGGCTGAGGAGCAGGAGCACCAGGAGAAGGAGGGAATGCAGCAACAGGATGGAGAGCAGGAGGAAGTGAAGCAACAGGAGATGCAGCAAGAAGAGGAAGAAGTGCAGCAACAGGAGGGAGAGAAGGACGCGGAAATGCAGCAACAGGATGGAGAGCAGGAGGAGATGAAGCAACAGCATGGAGAGCAGGAGGCAGAGGTGCAGGAACAGGAGGGAGAGGAGGATGCAGAAATGCAGCGACAGGATGGAGAGCTGGAGCAGGTGGAGTCAGAGGAGGTTCAGGAGGAGGAGGAAGTGCAGCAACAGGATGGAGAGCTGGAAGAGGTGAAGCAACAGGAGATGCAGCAGTTGGAGGAAGAGGTGCTGCAACAGGAGGGAAAGCAGGAGGAGAAGATGCATCAGCAGGATGCAAAACAGGAGGAGGTGGAGTCAGAGGTGGTGCAGCAGGAGGAGGAGGTGCTACAGCAGGAAGAGGAGCAAGAGACGCAACAGGAAGAGGAGGTGCAAAATGAGGAAGAGGTGCAACAACAACAGGAGGAGGTGCAGCAGCAGGAGGAAGGACAGACTGAGGAGCACCAGCAGACTGAGGAGGTGCAGCAGGAAGAGGAGATGCAACTGGTGCAGGAAGAGGAGCAGCAGAGTGAGGTGGTACAGCAGGAGGAGGAACAGATTGAGGAGCTCCAGCACACTGAGGAGGTGCAGCAGGAGGAGGTGCAGGAGGAGAAGCAGATTGAGGAGTTGCAGCAGACTGAGGAGGAGGAGGAGCCGCACCAGGAAGAGGTGCAGACCGAGGAGATGTCACAGACTGAGGAAGAGCAGACGGAGGTGCAGCAACAGACTGAACAGGAGCCGCAGTTTGAGGATTCACAGCAGCACAGCGAGGAGGAGGCGCAGCAGATTAAGGAGGTGCAGGACTTTGAGGACGCTGTGGAGCAGAACCACAACAACCAGGTCCTGATCCGACTGAGAGGAATGTGAGTAAACACATTCAGCTGCCTGATGATGTCATGTTGATGGTGATGATGTAATGGCACTATTGATAAGTGGTGATCATGTTGTGAGCATCACTTCAGATCAGTGTGTTCAGACCGACATCAGAGTGGGGATGCTGGCATGAGGGAAAGACGGATGACAGGGAATTAGTGGAAAACTGTGGGCGTGCGACATCGCTGAACATAAGAGGGAGAAAGAGAGAGGGAGTGTGTGTGTGTGTGTGTATGCATGTGTGTGTGTGTGATTTTGATGAGGTCACAGCTTCCTGTCTGTCTGTCAGATATTTTCTCAGCAGCGGACGCTAACAGGCGAACGTCGCAGCAGGAACAACGCGCCACATCTGTCTGAAATTTTTTGAAGCAACAGCCTTCAGCCTTTTTTGTTCTCTTAGTTGCCATGGTAACGGCAGAGCGTTGCGATGCAGCAAACTCGGAACAGGAGCGAGAGAGAGAGAGAGAGGGGAGGGGGGGAGTGAGTGTAATGTATAAAAGTAACAAATGTGCAGTGCAAATGGGTAATAAACATACAGAATATTTTTCACAAGAGCGTGGAGTCCAACTCTCTTCAATATATATATCAACACTAGAAAAGTCTGCAACACCTGGCCTTATACTACATGACACATAGATTAAATGCCTTCTATTTGCAGATGATTTAGTCCTCCTATCACCGACAAAAAGAAGGACTCCAGCAGCAGATAAATATCCTGCGTGAGCACAATGGCCAAACTTCAACATGGCTGTGAAAGGTCTGAGGAACAAAGCAAGGAGAGCTTTCTGTGCCATCCCAATGTAAAAATTGTTATATCAATAAAGATTTTCACAGCGATCCTAGAACCAATTGCCATTCATGGGAGTGAAATATGAGGTCCACTCAGAGGTCCAAATTGTGACAAATGGGAGAAAAACCCAAATGAATCTTTCCATACAGAATTTTATATTTACAAAGAACCCCAAACAACGTCTGCAGAGCAGAACTAGGCCGATATAATCAGAATCCAAAAAAGAGCTACCAAATTCTACAATCATCTAATATCAAGCGACCCAAAAACCACAAAGCCCTGACCTGCCGGGATATAAACCCAGAGAAATGTCCCCTAAATCATCAAGCCGTTTTAACAGTTATTCCTTTAAACTGACATGACGCTATTTAAAAGCTACATATTTATTAGCTACTAGTAACTATTCAACTAGTTGTTACTATTCAGTTGTTACTAGTTTTACTAGTAACAACTGAATAGATACTAGTACCTCATTTTTAGTAACTAGTGACTATTCCATTGGTTACTAGTTACTAATTGCAGATTTTTGCCACTGAAATGCAGTTCAGATATTCATCAGTTACTAGTAACTATTCGAGTAGTTATATAATAATAGTTAATATAATAGACACAAAAAGTACATACTAGTACCTAATCAATTGTAAGTAATAAAACGGGAATAGTTACTAGTAAGTAGAAGCTAATAAATAAGTATTAGTAGCTTTTAAATAGAGACTAGAAAGTGTCAAGGAGTAAATGTTAAAGCAGCTTGCCATACACTGTCACTCTAAACCAAACTGCAAATAAACAAAAAGAAAAATACATCACACATTAGAAGAAAAACATTTACTGGGGCGGCAGTAGCTTGGACCAGAGATATGGAGTGTGGACTGGTAGCTGAAGAGGTGCCAGAAGTACAGGCGTAACACACCTGAATCTCCAAATGAACTGTTTGCAGCCACGTTGCACTTTATAGGAAAAAAGACATCTGTGGTTCTGCTGCATTGATTTTGAGCCTATTGAACTCTTCATCACGAGTCAGACAATGTTATAGGAGTGCAACGCTAAATGTGTGCGGCACTCTTTTAATGCTAAAGCACACAACGATATTTTAAACTGCTTTGTGTCAACAGTTTGTGTTTGTCCTGTTTTAACATGACAGTGCCCCCGTGCACAAAGCAGCTCAAAAAAGAGACTCAGAGTCAGACCTGATCACAAACATCAGTGTTGGACCTCACTGATGCTCTGGTGTCTGAATCGGAGACATCAGGAGTGGAGGCTGAATAAGCATGCTCTATGACATGTTTAACTACCACATATGTGTGGAGTGTTTGTGTGTCCGACTGTCCACATACGTTTGGCCATATGGTGTATTTCACATCTGAGATCTAATACATCACATGTGAAAACATGAATAGATTTATTTTTAACATTGGTCCTTTTTTGGGTTTGGTACAGCACTTCACCACCTGAGAGTCCTCTTCCTCGTCAATTTGAACCATGACTCATCATCCACAGACGGCACTCCTCATATCAGAAACATTGGATGATTCTGTTATGATCACGAACATCAGATGAATGAAAATGAACCTTTCAGACAGTACTGTACAAAAGGTACAAAAAAATGCTCTAAAGTAAGAATGCTTTAAAAACTAGACGCGTTAGAAGTGTTAAGATAGAAGTGTTAATAGATTATGTTTATAAATTAACAAAATGCAAAGCGAGTTAACAGCATTAGTTCTTCTAGGTACACTAGCGCGTAGTCTTTAAAGGAACTCGGCAGGTAGGTCAGCCCAAACATCTTGGAGAAATCCCCACAGTCCTTTTGCGGATTTAAGCAGCCTCAGTTGCTTCTCTCTCTTCGTGTAATCCCAGACAGACTTGATGATGTTGAGATCAGGGCTCGGTGGCTGCTGTACTTCCAGGATTCTTTTATTTCTTCTTTACACTAAACATAGTTCTTCATCACTTTCGCTGTATGTTTGTGGTCATTGTCATGCTGCAGAATGAATCTGGGGCCACTCAGACGCCTCCCTGGTGGTACTGCATGGATAAGTATCTGCCTGTACTTCTCAGCATTGAGGAGACCAGATCTCCAAATCTGTTTGCAGAAATGCAGCCCCAAAAATTGCAAAGAACCTCCACCTTGCTTCGCTGTTGCCTGCAGACACTCATTCTTGTGCGGCTCTCTGGCCCTCCGGCGAACAGCCTGCCTTCTGCTGCAGTGTAATTTTAAAAAGTTTGACACACCAGTCCATTTTTCTGCACCCCAGTTTGTTCCTGTGTTTCTATAGTTGAGTCTCGTGGCCTTGTTTCCGTGTTGGAGGCTTTTTGGCTGCAAGTCTTTCATAAAGGCCACTTTTGACCAGACTTCTCTGGACAGTAGATGGTGTACCAGGATCCCACTGTTTTTTGCAGCTCTATGCTGAGGCACTATTGGACATCTTCAGATTGTGAAGGAAAGTAAGCATGATGTGTCTTTCATCTGCTGCAGTAAGTTTCTTTGGCCGACCACAGTCTTGACCATATTTGGACGAGACTGTGGAGCTAAAGGCTGTGTATGGAGCTAGCTAGCTTGCTTAGCTAGGTGCATCTGTAATTCACGTTAACTGTCATTTTAACAGGGCTGGCAATTTTGTCTAGCAAATAAAAGTCTTAAAATTAAATGTACTCACCAGAGAAAGGGAACAGCCAACTCCTAATAAGCTTTTTCAACAGCGCTGGTTAAATTTACACAGTGCCGTGGGTACATATCACTCAGGTCGCCATGGTAACGACTTGTCAATCACAGATAATCTCGCCCTGAAGCATACTGTGCTTTCTGGTTTATTTTTCTCTAAATGAGACCATTTTTTATTTTTTTTATTTTTTTTTATTATTTATTTTTACAGGCAAGTCATTAAGAACAAGTTCTTATTTACAATGGCGGCCTGGCTGACATAAATACAGTACATTAGAAATACATACAGTTTTAGCAATTACATAAAATACAATTAAAAACTCCACACAGTAGACAACACAAAAATTATTACGTAGAGAAGCAACTGCAAGTGTCCGTGAACAAAGATGATATAATAGTTTTAAAAGATGAAATTAAAATTAATGTATCCAGTTTAAGAAAACTTAACAAAGCGTTCTAGTCGCGAGCGGCAGCAGATTGGAAAGAAGCAAGACCAAAGGCAGAGTTGGTTTTGGGAATACTTAATTAAAGACGAAGTGAGGACCGGTTGTTGTATGTGACAGGCTTTCGCTGCAACCATAATTTACTAAATGAACATCATGCTGTACTGAAGAAGACTTGAAACTAGTGACTGAGACCATAAACTCATTATGAAAGTGTTTACTGTGTTAATAAATCGGTTAGAAGTAGGGTCATTTTACCATTATTTCTAATGGAACCGGACTTCTGTTTGCAACCAGAAGAGTCGCCCCCTGCTGGCCGTTCAATAGAATGCAGGTTTTAGGGACTTAAATCAGTTTGCTGACTGGAAGATTCCCGCTTGCATAGAACACATAAAAACATAGACAACACACAAACCAATGGTTCAGAAACATGATGATGTTTGGTGTAATTGTTTAATTGTTTACACCGGGTGATATATCTGCAAAACCCCTGACTTTGTGGAAGTGTACCTTGAATAATTGACGCTGTTTAAAGGCAAAGGCTGATCACACCAAATATTGATTTGATTTAGATTTTTCTTCCTTTCACTTATTTCACTTCACACACTTTGCATTTTGTTAATAAATATGATCTATTAACCTGTATATTTACTTTCTTATTGCACAGTACAGTGTATCTCCGACTAGTTCATAAATTTACATCTTATAATGTAACCATTTGTCAGACATATCACTGCTGTCTCATTCATCACATTATGGCAGAAAAAAAGTCACCTGCCATTTTTGATTTAATGAAAGTTTCTCGCAGCAGTGAAATGAGATGTGCATGGTATAATTTTCATAAAATACACACACAAATGTATGACCCCCTTTGGCAACTCTTGTTCTGTTTAACAGACCCTACTCGCTACACAGCATCTTGTGTTAGTAACTAGTTGGCATCAGGGCAAGAGATTTACCAGCAGAAGTTGGTGTGTTGGTTAAAGAAGTTGATGCCAAGAGAAGTGTTTAATTTTGCCAAATCCTGTAATAAACATTGGCAAGTGAATGTGTTATTGGTCAGCAGTGATTCAATGAGAGAAACTGTGAAGGTGTAAA